CTAACATAATCCAGCTGGGGCAAAGGTTTTTCTCAGCTTGCACATTTTGAGTACGTTGCCTACCTTCTGTGGCATATAATAATGATTATTCTCAAGTAATAAATTAATTTATTCACAATTAGTCTCAGTTGTTCTATACGGACGCAGAGTATCGTTTATAATGAAACTTTGCAAACTATTCAATTGGAAAAATTCATATCACCCTTGCAGTAAATTTTATAGATGATATTTACATTTTTATACATAGTATTTGTTGATGGGCACTTAGCCGTGTGGTTAGCACGGGTTTGAAACTCACCATGGTCGATTTTATTCATTTGATGTCATCGGTGGAGATTTCACTTTGGAAATTTGTAAAAATAAATAGTGGTTATGCTTGACGCTGTTGTAAAGTATCTACTTTTTATCGTTCATCAGAATTTGTTTAAAAACGTAAGGAAACGTTTAAAGAAATACATATCAGTAGGTATTTAAGTCATTGAGCCTCTCTCCCAGATGTCTGGAAAGCATGGAGACGGAAGGGAGTACCACAAGCGGGAAGTATGAGAGAAGAAACTGTTAACATAGGAATTACGGTTACATCTAGCCAATTGAATTGTAAATGTGATCTCGATGCCAGTCTAATACTGCATTTCGCTGTTTACATAATTAGTCTAGAAGAATTTGATATGTGAAGACCTGTAATCTTAAATATCGGAAAAGTTTGATACGATTCTTAAAATCAGTATAATCTCTTTATAGTTTTTAAAATGTTTTTTTTTTTCATAAGAGGCTCAAGTGAAGATAATATTTATCTTCCTGACGAAATATAATTGTATCTAGATTATTCTTTTGATTATTCAATTTGAAACTAAGATGAATTACAGTATTTACATTAGTCGGACTATTGTCCTCATCTTTGTCGCCATATTTGTCACAACGTTTCGGCCGTTGTACGCTCCGGCCTTCTTCAGGTGGCTGGAATTTCGAACTGAACCCTTTATTTCGATCACTGGGGTAGACTCAAGGACACATGGCACAGTGGATAAAGGCGTTGGTTAGATCCAGTGACAGACCCAAAGAAGGTGAGTTCAATTCCTGGTTAAGGCAGTGGAGAACTTTCAGAGGAAAAATTAGAAGGAGATAACTGATAACTGACATCCATCAAACATGGCACGTGGAACTAGAACAGTCTACCCCAGTGATCGAAATAAAGGGTTCAGTTCGAAATTCCAACCACCTGAAGAAGGCCGGAGCGTACAACGGCCGAAACGTTGTGACAAATATGGCGACAAAGATGAGGACAATAGTCCGACTAATGTAAATACTGTACATAATACCTCATCTCAGAAATATAGACAGACTAAGATGAATTAATATTTGATGTCTTATATAATTTTGGTAGCTCAATTTGGGTAATTATTAGCGTCTCGGGACAAGAAATCTGCATGCCGTGTTCGAATTCTGGTTGTGTTCATTACATTGACTTTTGCAAAAATACCCTCAGAAAAGGTATGGTTACATCAGTTCTCCTCTTCTCCAACTATAGGTTAAATATCAGAGCAGAATTAGTTCTCTGGCCGTGGATGGCAGCCAATCTAGGAGAAAAAACGATAAAACCGTATCTAACCAATAATGAAGTACATAGTATTGCACCAGAAAGGAAAGGATCTTGGAGTTCACGATGATCCCGACGTGATAGAAAGATAGATTTTTAATGATATCTGAATTTCTGGGATGAAGAGTTATCATTATTTACATTTGGACTTATTTAGTCTCCCGAAATTCTTCAGGTATTTTCGCTTCAGGGAGTTTCGGATTAAACCTTTTATTTATCTATGGTATTAGATTTTTTACGTTACACGTCTTGGAATATATAACCTTTTTCGTTAAAACTACAGCACTGGTATTGTTCGTTCTCTTTCCACTGAATGTGCGTCTACACTAGCCAGCCTCAATGAATATACAATCAAATCCACAAACCAACGCTTTAATCTGCTAGGCTATTATCATGTGAAACAATCCAGAACCTAAAACTTAAAGTGTTAAACCTAATGTTTTTATTGCCTGTTTGCTGCTGTCGCTACTTCTGTCAGACTTGACATCCTTTGCCGCCGTTTCTCTTTTCTTATTGCTGGAGGTTTTCTTTCTTTCTTTCTTAATGGCTGCCATAGGGTATTTATTTAAACTACTTTTAACCTGTGACAAACAATTATTATATGATGCTAGACCTAGGGGAACGCTGCGCTACACTTACCTGACTAGATTGTGTGATGGCGGAACGGTGAGCGGGAGGTTTAGTAAAGGGGAAAATGACTGCTAAGAGCTATGAGATAGGACGTTATGGAGAGCCATGATCCCCCATGTCCTGAAAAGACGTGGCACATAAAAGAAGAAGTACACCTTCTGAAAAGTCCACCAGAGTTGAAAAGTCAGAATGTAAATAGTGTAAAATAATGATATAATTTAACAAGATGATAAGAGATCAAAAAGTTGATCCGTGATTCACGGGTAAATTTTTTTGATATGGTTTTATTCAGTAATGAAGAAATGAATTTCTGGCTTTGAGAACAAATCACTTGACTATTTCTTTATATGAGTCAAGAAGAAGGAAAACGAATGGAAACTGAAGCAAAAGATTCTAATAAGATACAATTGTTAAAAAGTGTATATACATAATATATATATATATATATATATATATATATATATATATATGAGATCAAATGTTTACTAATCGTGGGAATTCATATCAGTTAATCATTTTTAATAGAAATAGGGGAAAATATAATTTTGATCGGCGCGTTGCATATGTACAAATACGAAATCGTTGATACTTGATTTTAAACAGAGTGATATTCTTGTAATAATACGCCAACGTACACACAAAAAGATAAAATGCGTGATTCTCGATATCAAACTCAAAGCAATTACATCGTTTCATGTTTCTCAATTAACAGTTCAAAACTTGCATCGAGTTCCTTGACTATGAGCTTCACATCTGATGCAGCAACAAGGAAAAGATTTTCGATATGATATTTTTTTTTTAGAGATTTTGATATATTTATTTTGGTGCAGCATATGAACAGGAAAAAAACATCACAAGGATTTGGTTTTATTCTTTCAAGATCTGGGACCTCTTTATAAGGAAATATGAACAGCATAAAAACAGTATAAAAGGATAACTTATTAATATTTACGCAGTCTGCAGACAAAGAAACGAGCGAAGATTTGAATAAGAAATAAGGAAAAATAAATATATAATTATCTTTTCGTGTAGTTATTTTCTATACTCTGTGTTTATTCCAGAATTGGATTTGGTCTTCTTTGGTGCTGAGCGTAACTTCTCTTGATATTGCCAAATGTAAGTTTTTGCATATTTATTGCAATATAACTTGGCTGTGGTGCGTCATTATTGGTGGATTGTATAATCAATTCACGTGAAAGAAAAAGTGAATGATTTTGGCTTGGCAACAGATTTTAATTTGAAAGATAGTGATGAACATTGAAAAACGAAAAATAAATACAATTATCGACATAGTTTCAAAGAAGATATTAAAAAAGCCGTTGGGAAGTAGCCAGCGAACTAGTCTAGTTGGGTAGAGTAGTGAGTTCGATTATCATTGTTTACCTCTTATTTATGGATTTATACCTATATTGAACTGAGATTAGTAAGAAGATAGATAGATTATTTTTGTTGTAAATAAATGCTTCATCAATTTATCGTCTGTGCAAACAAATAAATGCATCAACAATTTTGATTCATGCATATATAAAATGGAATGCTAGATTTTAACCAATTAATATCCAGATAAAATCCTGTATAACTTATAAAAATAAAAATCCCGTATCAATTCTAGGTTTAAGAAAAAACCCGTATCAGTTCTAGGTTTAAGAAAAATCTTATATCAGTTCAAGGTTTAGGAAAAATCCCGTATCAATTCTAGGTTTAAGAAAAATCCCGTATCAATTCTAGGTTTAAGAAAAATCCCGTATCAATTCTAAAGAAAAATCCGGTATTAATTCTGGGTTTAAGAAAATCTGGTATCAATTCTAGGTATAAGAAAAATCCGGCATCAATTTTAGGTTTAAGAAAAATCCCGTATCAATCACAGTCTAAAAATAATCCAGTATCAAATAGGCTTATAAAAATTCCATGTGAATTATAGGATAATAAAAATCCCGGATCATTTATAGGTTTAAAAAAATCCTGTATAATGTATAGGCTTATAAAAAGTCCCATATCGATTATAGACTTATAAAAAAATCCAGTATCAACTCTAAGCTTATAAAAAATCCCCTATCAGTTATAGGCTTATAAAAATCTAGTATCAATTATAGCCTTATAAAAATCCCGTATGAATTATAGGCTTATGAAATATCCCGGATCAATTATAGGTTTATAAAAATCCCATATGAACTATATTATAATAAAAATCCCGTATCAATTATAGGCTTATAAAAAATCCCGAATCAATTATAGGCTTATAAAGAATCCCGGATCAATTATAGGCTTATAAAGAATCCAATAGTATCAGTTTATTCAATATAAATGATAGGCCTTTGCTTATACCCTATTAATGCTTCCCGCATATTAAATGGGACGATGAGCATTAATGAGTTAATATAAGAAAAACAAAACAAAACAAAAAAAAACAGAAAGGGAGGATATTTTAAACAATACCATGTTCTAACAGAAACTCTATTATCTTCAGTTGGCATCTGAAACAATTTAATGAATGTGAGATAATTTTTAAGAAAGACCCCAACATGAAATGAAACTCAAAATCAACAACTAGAATTGTGATCTATATGGATCGGAATTAAGTTATGGAGAAAATATATTTTCCCATATCTCATTCTCTGATGGAGCTTTGATAAAAAGTGAAACATGTTAGATTGATAAACGCTTCCTTTTTGTTCTTTATTTTATCATATATATATATATATATATATATATATATATATATATATATATATATATATATGTCTATGTGTGTACTTATTAAATTCGTCACTGTTAAAGAAATTATTTAGCAAAAAATAATTCAAATGTGAGCAAAATTTGCACAGTTAACATGGAAAAATAAAAAATATAATGGATTGGCGTCATAACAAGGAATAAGTGAGTGTAACTGTAGACTAAAGAAGGGGTGCCCACTAAATGGAACATGTCTGTCAAAGGACATCATATATGAAGTCCTATATGAAGTAACTCATGCCGAAGTGAAGTACTATATCGGAGCTGCTCAGGGCGAATGGAAGCGACGTCTCTATAATGAAAAGAGAAAATAAAAGGGCAGTACAATTCACTTTGCATTCTATTGATCGCCTGCTGACAACGGGAAAGAAGAACCTAAAGTAAGATGGAAGATATTGGCTAAGGCCAGGCTCTCTAACGCGATTTGTTAAAGTTTTAAATTATGCACGACGGAAAATTTGTTGAATCTGCAGGCAATGGGCAATGACCTTTTGAATAAGTGAAACGAATTAATGACTATGTTTTAGGGACAAAAGAAGTCTTTAATCGGGAACATAGACTTATCATCTATCGGTCTATATAAAGTAGATTAAAATGATTAAATGCTTCCATATCTGTATCGATGATTATTGTACAACATATGAAGTAGCACGAAACTTCATAAAATGTTTGGTATATATATATATATATATATATATATATATATATATATATATGTGTGTGTGTGTGTGTGTGTGTGTGTGTGTGTGTGTATGTATGTATGCATATAGGCTCAGCCAATTGGCACTGAGCTCTCGATTTTTATATTTTATAATGCTTAGCTTATATTAAAGTTTTTAGCTTATTTTAACCTTTATATCTTATTATTATATATATATATATATATATATATATATATATATATATATATATATATATATATAATGAGAGATAAAACTCTGCCAAATTTTCGTTATCTAAGGATTAGAATAAATTATTTTAAAAATGAAAAAAAACATTCGTGATTGCTTGTTTTTAGCTTTAATTGAAAGCTATTACCAGTTAGCAAAATATTCTGATGCATTTCAAATAGAAATTTTATTGACTGGAATCTCAAATTTTTGGTCACTTTCAGAAAATCGATAAATATCGATCATTTTGAAACATTTGTAAACAAAAGTTGACTCTCACTGTTAAGAATCTTCCAGAAATAAAATTTATATTTCTCACACGTTATTTGAGGAAAATTAGCAAATTTAAAGTTAAACTAATCTGATTTGAAACAAATATTACTTACTTATAGCCTAAAACGTAATATATTTCTTAACGAGGGGTTTTTGTTTTTCTGATGTGCTGTTTGATTTATTGGTAGACTGAGGTGTTGACAGCTAAGTATGTTTAGCCAGAAACTGACATAAATTTAAGAAATCTAAGTGAACGCTTTGTTTATGGCTTTTAACTACCTAGTAATTTTTTAAAACATAGTTTCTCAGCAAATATCTCATATTCTGTTGAATTTTAGTTAATTTAGCTTTAAAGTCTTACCTTTTATCAAAATAACTCTCACAAAAAAGAAAAAAAAACTTAAGAAAAAGTAAAAAAAATGCTAACAAAAAATTATGAAACAGGAGTTAAAGTAAAAAATAATTTGTAAGGAAATTTCAAATTGACACGCAAATTAAAAAAAAAAGAACTTCAAAAAGAAATTGTATAAGGAAATTTTAATTTAAAGTAAAAATATTTTTAGTAGAATTATATTAGGTTTTTTTTCTCTAGATTCTTTCTTAAGTGAAACTAAAAGAAAAATTACTTAATTGAAGTATGACCCACGTTAAAATAAAGAGATTAAATAAAAATATTTAGTGAAATAGGAAATAAAAAAAGTTAAATTTAAAGTTCTAAATTTTTCAAATTTTGAAAGGATGATTTTGCAAAGTCTGCTGACACGTAAGCACGATGAAACACAGAAATGAATAATGAAAGAAATGCAGATGACCAGATTTTTCAATGAGGACAACTCTTAAAACACGTGATGGACGCCCATATGAAAATGAGAATGTTTCTAGACTAAAATAAAAATAAAAATAATTTTAAAAATATTCGTGCAAAACGACATTTATTAAGCTTTTCAATTTTTAGAAATTATTTTACACATAATAACAATATCTCTTAACGGGATTAAATTAATGTAGGATTTTAAACGATTTAACTTATAATTATAATTTAAAAAAAATGGAAACAATTCTTAATAAATACATTCATCCAAATTTTTTTTTCTTATGATAATAGTGCCCTTAATAAATCTTATTTATAAAAGCAATTAGAAGCTTTTATAATTAAATAATGTCATAGTTTTATTGCATTTTTATTATATGATTCGGAGTAGACTTCCAGGAAATGTGTAGTAGTTTGAAAAAAAAAATTATTGATTTACATTCTCCAAGGAGTCCTGCTTTTAACTAATACAAACAATTTTGTGATTGAAATTTAATTTCTCTAAATTTCATGAAATTAAGGAAGTAGGCGGTAACATAGGTAAAAAATACTTTTACCAAGATTTTCTGAAAAAAAATTGATAAATAATTTCATTCAGTTACGAATAAGTCCTGAAAGTTTCATTAAATCCGACAATTATTTGATTTTTGCAAGAATTTCTAAATCGATGTGTTTTATCAACTGAAAAAAGACATTTAAACACTAAAACATAAATGTTACGTCGACTGGTGGCGTAAAAAGAACATAATTTTTAAAACTTCGAACGTGCTAGAAATGATTAAAAGATTTAATGCATAAAACAAAACAAAATACAATAATACATTAAAAAATAGTCTTTCTTCTTAATAATAACGTAAAGATTTTGACTATAAAACTTGCTTTTTATTAATTTTGCGGCCGTTTTTCATCATGCTATGCTGTTTTTTCAGCGTGAAAGTGAAGATGCCTGTATATATATATATATATATATATATATATATATATATATATATATATATATATATTGTAATACTCGTTTGGAAAACCTCGGATAGATCAACTTGTAATAGAACAAATCGGTACCGAGGAAGAAATTGGAAAAAAAAAAAGAACCAAGAGCATTAACACAATACGAAACCAATCGTCATGTGCTTAAGATCCAAGTCAAAGGGGGAAAAAAAACAAACGAGTAGAAAGATTAAACGTAGAGTGCTCAATACGCTAAGTAGAGCGATAAACTAGACTAATAATCTAGTATATATATATATATATATATATATATATATATATATAGAGAGAGAGAGAGAGAGAGAGAGAGAAGATAGATAGATAGATAGATAGATAGATAGGTAGGTAGAGAGAGAGAGAGAGAGAGAGAGAGTACAAAATAAAATCCAAATTTTCTTTATATGAAAAATAGGCTTCTTTCATCCGAGGAAAACTTGGTCAGTTTTATTCAACCCAGCTAGAGACTGAGTTCGGGTCTGAATAAGACTGACGAAGTTTTCGTCGGATGAAATAAGCTTATTTTTCATATAAGGAAATTTTGGATTTTATTGCGTACTAATTATTTGCTTTGTAATAATAAATACATTGGGCTCTTTTTTGTGGAACAGTTTTAATATTTTACATTACTAGAACCCACTCAGATAATATACTAACGACTCAATTACCTTTACTATATATATATATATATATATATATATATATATATATATATATATATATATATATATATATATATATATATATATATATATATATATATATATATAGTTTTAATGGTATGCTTAATAAAGTGCTCAATATCAGAGATAGAGCAGATATAAATATAAATATAAAAGTGAACATTGAAGTCAACACTCAGAGGCGACAGGCTGTTTCATGCTGGACGTAAGTGTCAGGCTGCCTGACGATTGCATCCAGCATGAAACAGCCTGTCGTATGTGAGAGTTGACTTCAATGTTCATTTATATATATATATATATATATATATATATATATATATATATATATATATATATATATATATATATTTAATGAGAAATAGACCACTTTTAAGGTACCATTACAATAATTTATTTCACTAAAATCCTTTTAAAGTATTTCGGATCATCAGGTAACACATCCAACATAACTTCCACTTCATAACTTAAATATATATATATATATATATATATATATATATATATATATATATATATATATATATACATGTGCTTGTGTGTTTTGTGTGTGTGTGAAATTATCAATGAAATTGGTATTAACCAAACAGATTTCAAGAATTTATATGATAAATAATTTATTTATTATATATTTATATGATAAAAATTACAACGTGAATTTCAGCGTACGATATTTATTTTTAAGAGAAATATTTACAATTCATTGTTCGGTGGTGCGTTAAATATTATTATACAACTCGATGCTTTTTCCTGACGTTGTAAATAAATAACATTTATATAATAGTATATTTATTGTTATTATTATGTATTTTCTTTTAATTTCAGAAATAAAAAGATTCTCGTGTAACGCAAAAAATATATAACCTGAAAAGGGTGCCTTAAAGTCACTGAGTTTCAGGAACACAAGAATCGGAATTACCAAATAGCTGAACAGAGATCACATAATAATAATAAAAAAAAGAAAACAAATTGAAAACATTGGTAAAATAATAAAAATGAAAAAGTGGATTTCAAATTGTCATACAATGAGATCATAGAAAAATAAATAAAAGAAAAATTACTGTAGCCAGCAAGAAAGTATTTGAAAAAACTGGTGTTTCAAATTGGAAAAAAAAATAGCCATTATAGACTATTAATAACATTGACAAATAGATGAAAGCAATCCAACTACCATCCTTATGTGAACTTCTTAAAGCCTGTTTAGCTTAGATGGACGTTTCACATAATGATATCAGTGCTAGAGGCTCGGATAATTTTGATGACTTCCTGTTGTGAAGTTACTCCAAGGTATATCGAGAATGTTGTAGAGAAGCATTGGAACATGTTGAGCACTATTAGATGACCCAGGATTCGGCACCGTATAGATGGGTAGCCAGCACGATGCTTTAGTAGATATGTACATGGGTATCTTTATTGAGATTACACATACACTCTTTCACACACGGATAAATGCAGGCACAAACATATACTTGCTGTACAGGCATCCCTCAATTAATCCATTTTAGGTTAGTGAGCTAAATTTTTTATATATCAAAATACGATTAGTGTATCCATAATACTCAGTTAGTGCCGTAAAACATTATTCAGTTTAATCATAGTAATTAAAAATTGCTTTTTTTATACTTACAACACTAATCAAAGGGTTACACACAGAGAGAACAATCAAAGCCTACTATCCAGATATCGTTATTAGAGATTGCAAACAAAAAAATTGCCTCCTTATTTATATGGCAGTCCCTGTAGACCAAAAAGCTATCAAGATACAAGGACCTTGAAATATAGTATATGAGAACATCAACGATCCCTGTTGTAGTTGAAGCCCTCATTGAAGGGATTCCTGGTAGCCTATGCCTTAAAGAAATACAAAGAATTGTTCTCACGTGTACAGACCAGACAACGCGAAGAATTTTATCTATGTAAAATGTGTGTGTGTGTGTGTGTGTGTGTGTGTGTGTGTATGTGTGTGTTTTAATTGCTCATTCATCATGCCATTTCTGACTTTAGATCTCTGAGCGGAACCCAAAAAAAAATGAGTATACACCAGAAAAGAAAGGAAAATAATAAAAATAATAATAATAATAATAATAATAATAATTATGCAACTTAGAAAATACGAGAGAAATATTACGTGTTTTTTACAAAACTTCTGCGAAAAAACACTCAGTATAAATTCGAGCTATAATATTCAATAAATACAAGTTCAAGTAGTAAACTGACTCAAGTGTTTTACATCGAAACAAACATCAGGGTCAAGTATTTGATAAGATATTTATTTACAAACTGATCAAACATTTGACCCTGGTGAGCGTTTCAACACAAACCTCTTGAGGCCACTGTCCAGATAAGTCACTTGAATATATATATATATATATATATATATATATGTATAAATATATAAATATTTGTATAAATCGTTTTAGATTCAAAATCGATTTGTACATATTCGTATATGTTCATGTATAGATAACTAACTATATATGATAAATATATATATATATATATATATATATATATATATATATGCTGTATGTAAATATATAAATATTTGTATAAATCGTTTTTAGATTCAAAATCGATTTGTACATATTCGTATATGTTCATGTATAGATAACTACCACTACATATGATACAGCTCTCTCTCTCTCTCTCCCCATATATATATATATATATATATATATATATATATATTAGGGTGATCTGAATAATCATAATTAAGTAATACATGGAGTCTAGAAGAATCATCAACAGTATGCAGAAAGCACTGGACAGCCGCTTTGTCCTATTTTGGGACTCATCAGCAGTGTTCATCCATTACCAAGAATCGAACCCGGACCGTTATGAGCGTGATACCAACTAGACCAACGACTCTCGGTGACGAAGCGGTAACAAACTAGACTCGATATAGCGCCTGGTCTTCACAAATTCCGTTGTGTGACTCATCCGAGTCTACTTATGCCAACGGTCTGTGCCTTCATGCTTCTCGTTTCTATCCCCCAGCCAATCCATCCAGAGTATTAGAAGCCGGTTCAAGGCAAACACACACACACACACACACACACACACACACACACACACACACACACACACACATATATATATATATATATAAATTGAGTGTCTTCGTCAGCGAGATCCATTAGTCTAGTGGGTATGACGCTTGTGTCATATCGTAACGATCTGCAGTCTGTTGACAATTCTTCTAGACTCGATGAAGTGTATATATATATATATATATATATATATATATATATATATATATATATATATATAGAGATGTGTGTGTGTGTGTGTGCAGGTGTTTATATAAATATATTTATATATATATGAGTGTGTACGTGTGTATATTAAGTGTAAAATGATATGTATGATATATATTCAAAGGCTTATGTCTACATAATTAAATAAAGAATAAGATCGACACTGTATGTGTATCTATGAAAAGTTTGATGTCTTAATATTACACACACACACACACACACACACACACACACACACACATATATATATATATATATATATATATATATATATATATATATATATATAATTGACATTAAAATTGTAGAATGAAGGTTAATCTAAAATATGCTGGTAGGTAATCAATATTCGATTTCTGATGTTTTCTGATTAAGTGATTATGGATCACCACAAAATAAAATAAGCTTTTATGAATTATCTATCTATCTATCTATCTATCTATCTATCTATCTATCTATCTATGTGTGTGTATGTGTCTGTGTGTGTGTCTGTGTATGTGTGTGTATGTGTGTCTGTGTGTGCGTGCGTGCACGCGCGTTTTTGTGAGAGATTGTATATTGACAAAAACGTATCTAGAGCTATCTTCATATATATACATATATATATATATATATATATATATATATATATATATATATATATAT